TTTGCAAGTAAACTGAATTTAACTATCTAGTTTATATTTCCTTTTAAATTTCATATTCTGTCTCGAAGCTTTGGCTGATGTGATCATTTATGCAATTAAATTTGGAATTTATACACAAAACCTTTAATTCTCATGACTACATAGCTTTAAATATTCCTTTTTATAGTTTCAGTTTTAACGTTACTATTCTATATAATACTCATATTTTGTACTTGAAATCTGATGGTAATAAATACTTAACATTATAGCATTTCTACAAAACTAACGCATTACTTATTAAAATCTACAGTGTGTTAAGATGTAGATATTTCAGAATACATTGTTTTAATTCTGAATAGCTTGTTTAAGTAAATGCAGATTTATTTCTCATAATATTGGACTTTTTAATTTTCTTTTGGATGCATTATTCAGTTTGCTAGCTCTTGAATACTTTATCTTCTATCCTTGCGCATTTAGAGAACATGAAAATTTCTGTGTTTCTAATAAAATAAATGAAGAAATATATTTTTGAAACTTCTAAAGCAGATGAGCAATTAAATATCTTCACGTAAGTTTTGAATGTCTGGAAAAATGAAAGATTAGCTTGGGCAGCTTAAAGCATTTAATATCCATGAAATATTTAGACTATTCCTGCATATACGAATTATTCAAATTTTGTCGTGCTTTAATGTCTGTACTTATGGGTGAACCAGCCATTCCAATGCCTACAGCAAAGGGGAACATTAATTGTGTTTTTTTACAAGAATGTTCTAAATTACATTGCTGCTTAAAGAACCAAATAACTATCTTATCCCAACCTATAAAATCTTCATCTTTTCACTAACTTATGTTCACATTCTCGATCAAGTGATCAACTGAGAATGAAGGAACAAATAATATTCAGAAGCTACGTTTTTATATCATTTTAAAATTTGTTTTCTTTTGTTTATAATGCAGATTTGTCGTAATGTGGCCGTTGAAGTACAACTTTTTTTTATACTGGAAAAATTGTAACTGGATAAAACCAAACAAACATTTCGTTTCTACTTGTATTTTTTCAATGATTCTTTTTAGCTTAGCAGATCATATTGGAGAGTAGAAATATTCCTCCTTAGAATACTCTGTTCATATTTTACGCTAACTTCTAAGCTGAGTATTTAAAAAAAAGTACTAAAAGACATTATTCAGATTTATATCTGCTTTATGAAAAGCAAATTTAAATTTCATGATTTTCTTTTTGGGACGACGGGTGGGTACTTGTTTTTGATTTTCAGTGCAAATTCACATTTGTTTATCAATTATGGTTTGCTTTATCATTTATGCCATTTTTTTTTTTTTTTTGAATATATAAGTATGGCATTGGCTAAATAATGACCGATAGGATAAATGTCTAAAATATTACATATAGAATACTGAAATACATGAAAAGAACATAGTTTTCATTATTCCTTTTACTAGTGCATGTTTTCTTAAAAGCTATCAATGATATCCTTAGTAATCATCATTTTTAGCTGAACTTGTAAACAATAAAGGCACTCAACCAATGACAATTTTACTTTAAATTCATTATACACTTTATATTAAATAATTTGCTATACGTTCAAGATTTGTAGGAGATTATTGTTTACTCATAACTTTCCTATTCCTCTATTTCCTTCTTGGGGTCCATCTTCTTTAAAAAATATGACTTCACATTCGTTTAAGGGGACTCATGCACCTTAAAACCCATAAGATCTTCGAATAGGTGACTGTCGCAAAAATTGGAATAACTTATTTATTTTAAAAGCAATTACTACCAACGTTTTACAGCTGACTACATAATATAGCTGCTTTCTGAAATAGACATCAGAAAGTTTGTGTTGCCACAAATATTTTTATAATTTAATCCGATTTGTGGTAAAATTTTTAGTCATCTTTCCACCTTGCGCGCACAGTTTAAAACATTCTGTGCATAATTTAATTCCATATTTAATATATAGCTTTTATAACATTTGGAACCTACTGTGAACCTAAAATTCTAAGAATTTCATATTAAATTTTTATTTTATTTGGAGTTGAGTTTATAAAATGTACTTTATTTAAAAAATCTGTAATGTTTTCACGTATATTTTTTTATACTAAAATATTCATCGAATTTTTGGTTCAGTTAGAAAATAGTGCCCATATAAAGAATTCCATCCAATTTCAAGTATGTACCATTAGCCATTTTTAAAATATCATGCGCGCAAGGTGGAAACATGACGAAAACTTTTGTTGCACAGCGGATTAAATTACAAAACTGTTTGTGGCAACACACACTTTCTGGTTACTAGTTTCTAAAGCAGCTATATTATGTAGTCATCTGTACAACGTTGGAAGTAATTGCTTTTAAAATAAATAAAATATCTCACTTCGTGCAACAGTCACATATTCGAAGATCATAAGGGGTTTAAGGTTTATGAGCCCCTTAAGGCTTATCTAACTGAAAGAGAGACCTACCCGTTTTATAAACAAAACGTTCACTATAGTACTTAAAAGCCATCAAGCTCTTAAGGGGGCCCATACACCTTAAACCCCTTATGAGTATCGAATTATGTGACTGTTGCAAGAATTGAGATATTTTATTTATTTTTAAAGTAATTACCTCCAACTGTTTACAGCTGACTACATAATATAGCTGCTTTGGAAATTAGTAACCAGAAAGTTTGTGTTGCCACAAATATTTTTGTAATTTAATCCGCTTTGTGACAAAATGTTTCGTCATTTTTCCACCTTGCGCGCATGATATTTTAAAGATGGCTAATGGTACATACTTGAAATTTGATGGAATTCTTTATATCGGCACTATTTTCTAACTGAACCCAAAACCTGATTAATATTTTAATATTAAAAAATTTTATGCACGAAAACTTTACAGATTTTGTAATAAAATACATTTTATAAACTCAACTCCAAATAAAATAAAAATTTAATATGAAATTCTCAGTTTTTTTGGTTTACAGTAGCTTCCATATGATATAAAAGCTGTATGCAAATTATGGAATGAAATAATGCGACAGATAATTTTAAACTGTGCGCGCAAGGTGGAAACATGACGAAAATTTTTGTCACAAAGCGGATTAAATTACAAAAATATTTGTATCAACACAAACTTTCTGATTACGATTTCAGAAAACAGCTATATAATGTCGTCAGCCATAAAAAGTTGGAAGTAATTACTTTTAAAATAAATAAGGTATTCCAATTCTTGCAACTGTCACATATTCAAATATCATAAGGGGTTTAAGGTGTATGAACCCGCTTAATAGAATCCCTACTAAATTTTTTGTGAAAAGCCACGATTATGCTTACTGAAAGGAGGAACTCCTGATTGATTCTGAAACGGGTATAAGAAATGAGCTATTTTTAAAATTCTCTTAAGATTTCTCGAATCGAGAACTTTCTTCCAGATTCATTATTTGCGTTTTGTTAAATATCATTTGGCTACATCTTACAGTTCAATATCTTGGTTCATTGCAAAATATCAATACATTTTCTTGCTAAAAAGTAGGTCACCTGCAGCTCATACTGCGAGAAGATTTCGTTGAATAAGGTTTCCTTTCTCGACGTCTTGTCCCATTTTCCATTGAAACATCTTTTTAGTTAAAACCTTTAAGTTAAACCTTCTTTTTATTTGGCTTTCAGACTTCCAGATAATAAGGTCTCTTGTTTGGATTTCTTTCATAAACTAATTAAATTTGATGTGTTATTTTTCTAGAAGCAGTGTAAATTGTGATGTCACGTGCTTGTTTTGCTACGTCTACTAATTCTTGCTAATGCTTGAAGAACACTGTACATGAAAGCAGTATCTAAAATGAAGTTGATATAGGTGATGTTTTGCAGTCTGATTTTTTTACTAGGATTTCGTACACATATCACACAGTTCTGTTCGTTTCTCATCTACTTTAGCACATATATAATGTGGAGCAAAACCGCTCAAACCATTGCCGAATAGCAAAAATACTACTCAAATTGGCAACATCCCACCTAGTACTTAAAATCCTATTAATTCTTAAAATTTCTCTCTCGAGGTTTCACAGCTCAAGAGAGCATTTTAATTCTCTTGTACTTTTAGAAGATTGATGGTGTCGAGTGCACATCATTAATAAGCGGTTTGAACCACTCATTATTTAAAACCCATCAGTTGCAACTAACTGCCAAGTTATTTTATTTCAGGAATTCATCAGGCAAACCAAGTTTCCTTAAACGGGTTATAAATGGCTTAAATATTCTTCCTTTGATATATTTCAGATTTACCATATAGAGCAGGGCTTCTTAAACTATGGGTCGCGACCCCATTTGGGGTCGCGTAGCAAAATTCTGGGGTCGCGAGAGATTTTAATGTCAAATATTTATATATATAATATATATATATATATATATATATACCATTTTATAACATCACTAGAGTTGGCGGAATACAGTGGACTTGCAGCGTCTAGACACGCGCATTTGTTGAAGGTTTTGAGCTATCTCCACCGACAGCAGTAAACGATCGATGATCGCTATTATTATACTGTGGCTATACATTGTTAGTGCGTTTGTCGGTATCATACATGTCGAATAAACCGCGCGCCGCTGACTTCCCACAAGGGAGGAATGCGCGCGCGTACACACATGCAACCTGCAGCTAAACAATGATTCAATACACGCGCTGGCAAATACGCATTAACCAAACCGGTCTGTGGGGCTCTTATAAAAAAGCGCGCATAAATACTTGTAAAACCCGTTGAAAAATTTGTGAATTTTATGCTTTTTAAGCGAATTTTCATAACATTCCGTAACTTGCATTGACTAAAACGCTTGTGTAAACTAGCCTACACTGACTGCAATGTGAATTAGTGGAGTGTTGACGCTCTTCTAGTGTGGTCAATTGTCAGTGTCCCCCGTAACAAGATTTTAGTTTTTTTTTTATTTATTCAGTAATTAATAAATCAATTATTATCTGCAATATGTTATTTTTATATATTTATTTTATTTTAGGATCAAAATAATTTTTGGCCATGGATAAATGGCTGAACTTAAAGAAGAATGGTAATGACGCAGATGATAATGCTACAAACTCTTCTCAGGCAGGACAAAGTATTGGAAAACAGGCATCTAATGTGCGAAAAAGAAAATATGATGAGTCTTTTCTTCAATTTGGCTTTACATTTCAAAATTGTGAGGGTAATGAACAACCTCTTTGTTTGATCTGCAATGAATTATTGGCTTCGGAGAGTATGAAACCATCAAAATTAAAAAGACATCTTGAATCAAAGCATATTTCGTATGTCTATAAACCAAAAGAATATTTTGAAAGACTGTTGAAATCTTTAAATAAAGAAAAGAAAATCTTTGAAAAACTTATAAGTGTTAATGAAAAATATTTACTAGCGTCATATGAAGTTTCATACTGTATTGCTAAAAATAAAAAGCCGTTCAGCATTGGAGAAGATCTTGTGTTACCTGCTGCTATTAAAATGGTAGAAATACTACATGGAAGAAAATATGGCGATGATATTCGAAAAATTCCTTTGTCGAACGACACTGTCTCGAATAGAATTTCTGATATTAACAAGGATCAATTAATAGAACTTATTACAAGAATTAAAGAAAGCCCAAAATTTTCAATTCAGTTGGACGAAACAACTGATATTACTAAATTGGCTCAGTTGTTAGTATATGTCAGGTACGTTTATAAAGAAAGCGTGGAGGAAGAATTGTTATTTTGTCGTCCTATGGAAGACCATACTACAGGGAAAGACATATATTGTAAAGTTGACGAATTTTTAAAAGCAGAAGGTTTAGAATGGAAAAATTGCTGTGGAATATGCACAGATGGTGCAAGAGCGATGACGGGCAAAAATATTGGTTTTAAATCATTTTTTCAAGCTGCTCATTATGATCATATAACTTTTACTCACTGCCTTATTCACCGAGAGGCTCTTGCAGCAAAAACATTAGCACCAGAATTGAACGATGTGCTTCAGGATGCTGTTAAGATCATAAATTTTATTAAGAGGCACGCTCTTAACAGTCGCTTATTTTCAAATCTCTGTAAGGATACGGATTCCAACTACACAACTTTGTTATTACATGCAGAAGTAAGATGGTTGTCAAGAGGTCAAAGTTTAAGAAGATTATTGTTATTAAAGGACGAGATCGAAATATTTTTAACCGAACGGAAATGTGAACTTGCTGCTTTTTTTCAAAATGACTTATGCCTATCCAATCTGTGTTATTTGTCAGATATTTTTGAGAAGTTAAACGATCTCAACTTGTCTCTTCAAGGAAAATATTGCGATATATTTACTTCAAAAGATAAAATTGAAAGTTTTATTAAAAGATCAACATTTGGAAAAGTAGGATCGAAAAAAATTCGTTCGAAATGTTTTACAGTGTCGACAATTTTGTAATCGAGAAAATTCATTGTAAAACTTTTATTGCAAAAATTATTGTAGATCACTTAAAAGCGCTAGAAATACAGTTCCGGACATATTTTAAATTAAATATTGATTTCCAAAAATAGTTTGGATTCAAAAGCCGTTTTGGATTGGCTTAAGTGAGATTGATCACCTGCCACTTAAAGCTCAAGAGGAATTTGCTGAGCTTTCGAGTGACTCAAAACTACAATTTCAAAAAAGCCCTTGACTGAATTCTGGATCGGAACTAGAACTGAATTTCCCACAATCGCTGATATGGCGTTAAATCTACTTCTGCCATTCAACACCACATATTTATGTGAAGTTACTTTCTCAGCTTTAACACATATTAAATCCCAATATCGTTCAGCGTTAAAAAATGTTGAAGAGGTCTTACGTCCAGCAGTTTCAAACATTCCACCAAGATTTGATTTGTTATGCAATAAAAAAACAGGCACATCCATCTCATTAAATTTTTTACTTATACTTTAATTTAATACTTACCACGCAACTACTTGAATATATTCGAGAGAATTAAGACGGTCAGAATCCACTTTTATTTTTGAAACTATAATAAATACAATTTTATAATTTTTGTGCAATTTTTAATTTTAGATTTTTGTATGTTTCAAAACGAATTCTAAACTTATATATTTTCATATGTATATGTATATTGTTACCTAATAAATAAATTATCAAAAAATATTAATTTATTTTTCTTTTATATTTGTATGGGGTCGTCAAGAAACTCGCAATCATAAATGGGGTCGTGAATGACAAAAGTTTAAGAAGCCCTGATATAGAGGAATAAATTCATGGACGCATTATAGCCGGAAACGTTATATTTACGTAAATAAAAACGAGAATATTTGATTTATTCCAATGCATTGAACAAGGAAGGTGATTTTACTCGTGTAATACGATTCTATTCCAGGAAGTATGACTTCAAAAATACATGCATTTTATTGAAGGATGAAAAATATTATTCGCTCATTTTACGCAAAACTGTAGGTATATTTTCTGAGGTATGCTGCGTGGAATGATGGTCTTCATTGTGGATTTCATTACCGCAGCAGTGTTGGGTTCAAAATATTAATGCCTGCATTTGTCGAGTGCTAAATATGGCCCATATTAATTCCATTCATGAACTCAAAATCGTGAAACCAATGATTCTTTATATACTTTCCGCATGCTGCTCTAAATATACTGTATTAACTCGCGTATTTTGCCCTCTTTTCACACTAATTGTGTAAGGATCTTAAGTTTTACTAACGTTTATTTTATTTTAAATCTTTACTATCACTTCTTATTTTCTACTTCCGGCCAGAATTATAAGCGTGAAGGAGTTTATGCAAAGTTGTCTGGCGAACGCCAAGTATTTAAGTGTGGCCTTTTTGCCAAGCAGAAGAGAGGAAGCCGTGAGTTCGAAGCAGGCCGCTTACCTTAGAAGTTACGCAGTTGCTACTTTGCCTTCCAGGCCAGAGGTTTTAATCCTCTTGATAAATTAAACGTATTGTAGTGTTCACAGTCTCTGTGCTACATACGCTTTCTGTTATTATAAGGCCAATCTTATTCTAAAGTTAAATTAGAGTTTAGTTTTATTTTGATATCTTTTAAGTTAGACCCCGAGTGGAGGGTCATTGTATTCCGAAGTACGGAAGTCATTGTATATAAAGAAAAAAATAAGGGGTTTTGTATACCCTTCGTCTGTATCCTGTCTACTTACTACAATTAGTGAACATAGCTTTAGTAAGCTCTCTGTTCTAGTCAGGTCATTGTATGTTTCCGAAGAAGGTTAGAAGAAACATTGAACCTGATAGTGGCGCCCGACGAAGAATAACCATGGCCGAGTTTCAAGAAGAACCTGTGCTGCCTGCAGAAACAGCTCAGAATCCAGAAATGCCAGCTGCCGCCCTGGAAGGATTTGGGTATATTGTCCAGACCATGCGCGCTTCGATGAAACCAGAAGCAGCAACGTTTAATGGAAACTCACAGGTAACCAGTTTTTTGGAAAAATTGGATGACCACTTCATGCTCTACCCCGTGCACGAGTTTCAAAAAGTTACCTTAGCTACCAGCGCTTTGAGGGGCCAAGCGCTTAACTGGTTCAAATGTATCGGCAGAAGTCTCTTGGGTCAAGCAGGAAGTCCCACCTATACCTACGAAAATTTCAAGACTGCCCTACTAAAAGCCTTCCCTGTTGTAAGGGATCGTGCGAAATTAGAAACAGAACTTTTCAGTATATATCAACAAAGAATGGAAAAACTCTCGAGTTTTATTTTAAGAAAAATTCACGTTTTCAAGCTCTTGTATGGAAACCGTCCGGATCCTGAAATAATTCAAGTGATTTTGCCGAGGTTACTACCCCAAGTGCAAGACTTTATTGAATTGAGAAATCCGACTACACTGGAAAAATTATTTGAGCTAGCAATCCAGTTTGAAAGTAGAAGAACGGCGGACGTCGAAAGAAGACGCCAATATCAACAGCGAAACCAATTTGGTACGCCAAGACTACAGCAAACTCAAGCACATGGCTACGGAGAAAAAAAGCGAATCAGTGGGCAAGGAAACCCGAGCATTCAAAAACAGCCGGCGAACGTCGACAGTTCAATAGCAACCCAGGAAAAAAGTCTCAAGGCCAGTGGAGAAAGAAGGAAAGCACCGAAAGAAAAAATAATTTAAACTAAAACGGATTTCTGCTGACGAGAGGGGTGCGGAAATCCGAAGGCCACGAAAACCCCTCTTCCTACAAGTTAAATACAGTAATGGTGAAAAATTTAACTCTTCCGAAGATTGAAGTCTTGGTAAATAATATCCCGGCCACCGCACTCCTGGATACCGGCGCGCAGTGTTCCTGTGTGGCAGAAGTCTTTTTTAGAAAGTATTTTCGCAAATACCGCATATATAATGCGGATAATACAACAGTATTAGCGGCGCAAGGAGAACAATGTAAGTGCGTAGGTAAAGTACCTTTGTACATCCGTATCAAGGACGAACAAGTAAAGGTGATGTTTTTTATAGTAAAGAATTTGCAAGCACACTTAATACTTAGGAATAGACTTTCTTTCAGACGCACAAGCTAACACTGGATTTTAATGAAGCGTCTCCTTAAGCTGACGATGAAACCAGTGCGTGTAGAAAAAAGGTTGAACCGCCAAGGTTAAATCTCGACCACCTGCCTAATGACGAGCAAGATAGAATCCGACAAGTGGTAAGTGAATTTGCTTCCTTATTTAGTGATATTCCAGGATTTACCCAGGTTACTAACCATAGTATTGACACCGGAGATGCATTGCCGGTTCGTCAAAAACCATACCGGTATGATAAGAATAAGGAAAAAATTATAGAATGGCATATTACCGATATGCTACGTAAAAAGATCGTAACGCCCTATCTCAAGTAGTTATGCTAGTCCGGTGGTTTTATGTAAGAAAAATAATGATTATCTTTGGAGCATCCAAAAGGTGGAGATTCGCTATTGATTACCGTAAATTAAATTCCATAACGAAATATCCGGTATATCCGTTACCGATTATAGAAGAAATTTTAAGGAACATAAAATCAAACCAAATTTATGACAACTTTAGACTTAACGAATGGTTATTTTCAAATAGGGATCAGGCCTGAGGACGTGCCTAAGACTGCTTTTATAACCAAGTCTGGCACTTATGCATTTTTGCGTATGCCGTTTGGCCTTTCAGGCGCCCCAGCAACATTTCAGCGATGCATGGACATTGTGTTAAGACCTGTTCTCGGAAAGTCCACATTTATCTATTTAGACGATATCATTATTACTAGTGATAATCTAGACCAACATGTACAGGATTTAAGACAGGTGTTTTCTTTATTAAATGAGGCCGGTCTAAAAGTTAATGTCGAAAAATGCAAATTTGCAGCCCCTGAATTAAAATATTTAGGGTTACAAAATATCGCAAAAAGGGATCGAGACAGATGAATCAAAAATAATCGCTGTACAAAAGTATCCGACTCCAAACACGGCAAAGAAGCTCTCTTCTTTTCTAGGACTTTGTTCATATTATAGGTCCTTTATAAAAGATTTTGCGGCTATCGCTGAGCCATTGTTAAAATTAAAAAGGAAAAAGGCAAGATTCTCGTGGACGGCCGAAGCCAATAGTGCTTTCGAAAAATTAAAACAAGCATTAACGCAAGCCCCTGTGTTGAAATTTCCTGAAAAGGATGAAAATTTAGAAATTTCAGCGGATGCTTCGGATTATGCGGTAGGAGCGGTACTTTCGCAAAATCAGCAGCCCGTGGCATTTTTTAGCCGAACTTTAAATCAAACACAAAGAAACTATTCCGCGACCGAGAGAGAGGCACTTGCAGTTCTGTTAGCAGTGCAAAAGTTCCGAGTCTATTTTTTGGAAAGGCGCCAATAACAGTGTACTCTGATCATGCGGCGGTAACTAGATTGTACTCAGGGAAAAACTTATCCCCAAGGTTAATAAGATGGGCACTCAAGCTACAAAATATAATCTGGTAATCAAGCATACCCCCGGAAAGGAAAATATCGTAGCAGATGCCCTATCCAGAATTAAATTAGACGAACAGGGTAATACCGTAAAAGTTGCAATGCTGACAGCGTGTACAATAAATTCCCGAGAAACTGTAATAACCGAACTGGGTAAGGATCCTGAGTTTGGAAGTATTTATGAGTATTTGAA